ACACCCCAAAGTACCGCAATCCCTCCCCTCCCTTCCCACCGCACACTCCTGCTGCCTCCCACCTCCTTAGTACACATTCTCACCTCCCTACACACACGCATTTGGTACACACTCTCACACCCACAAGCTTGCCTTCCTGAGACAAGCACGCAGCACTGGGGAAGTTGTGAGGCGCTGGGAGCAGCCTGTTCTAAGGTGAGAAGGATGGAGCTCAGTGCTCACTTGCTAGGTGGTGGCATTAGAAGCTCCCAGGGCTGGGACAGACTGATTTAGCTCAGCTGGGGAGAGAGGTAGCAAGGAGAATGAGGGGAAAAGAGGGATGTGGGGAGGGGGCAAGAAAGAGAGGGGAGCAGGACTTGGTGCAGTATGCAGTATTTAGACACCAGGTGAAGGTGGCAATGATGAATTCAGCTCCCAAACTGGAGATGCTAATCAAGCAGCTTTGTTGCAGAGGGTATATAGCAGCCTAGTGCTTTTGGAGAGAAGGAAACAAAAGGGGTGGGGGGTGGGGGTGGCTGATTTATGCCTGTACTTCAGCAAATATTTTCACTGCCATTAGCATCGGGAAGACTGGGAGCCAGAGGAAGGGGTGCCATGGCGACCTGTGGCTTAGTGGCTTAGCACACTCCGCCCAGTCTTGTCTGCCCATGGGACACAGCAGCTGGGGCAGCTCTGGGCCAGAGTTCTGATCTAGATCCAGTATGTCAACCAACTCCTAGCAAAGAGCTGCTGTCAGCAGTGGGCTCAGAGTGCCAGGATTCTCCTAAAAAGCCCTAGGAGGGGTTTCCCTGCTGGCCAGGCTCACCAAAGTGGCTAGGGCAAGGGAAAATCCCCAGGTGACCGGGAGGGAGGGCAGGCACCAAAAGAGGTGGTGCCCCAGCCCCAACTTCAGGGCCAATCAAGTGGGTAAGGAGTACCATTCCCTCAGCCCTTGAAAGGCCCTCTCCTTCTATTATTCTAATGATGGTATTTTTAATTTCCTTAAAAAAAAGAGAGAGAAACAAAAGCACAGAATGCATTTGTTTGGTTTCATTTTGCCTCTGCAGCTTTGATAACTCCATCTGTGAAGGCTGTTTAAGAAACTCATGGGAGGAAAAGGAGAAGGAGGAGGATACTTACAGAAGTGCCAGCTCAAGTCTAGATGGCCACTTTTCTCATCCCTTTCCTCTGGGGCCATCTGCCTAGGAAGCAGTTTCTCTGGGGCCAGAGACACCAACTCCAAGTCCCAGCCTAGGACCCAAGCATTCTGCCCTTTCCTGTAGGCCTCAGTAGGCTCCAAGTTGTTTCCTTTTCACACAGAATCATTTGGGATGGAAGGGATCCAGCTCACCCCATGCTCATCCCCCAAGTCTGAGGCAGCCTAGAGTCTTCCTAGAAACCCCTATGGCTCCAAGAATGGAGGTGAGAGGCAGACCTCATTCTAGGCCTGACAGCCAGGAATGAGGCTACTGCACCTTCAGTCTGGGAGAAACTCCACAACTACGTGGACTGTGGAAAAACACATTCTGTCCCCAATTCTACAAATGGGTACAGAGCTCTAAAATGCTGCTGTTTAGCCCTGTGTCCCAGGCCCAGGAAGCTTGGCTATGACTTGTCTTACCTCTCCCAGGTCAGGGCAGTTGCTAAGATCAACACTGGGGTTGAAGGGTAAGGCTGCTTTTGGTACTTGTCTGGTCTCCTGACCTTTGATTCTGTCCTGTTCCATCTTTCCTGGGTTCTGGCTGCCAAATCAACCTGCTCTCCCCTATCCTACTACAAGCCCCATCTAACCCAGCTACCTAAGCCATCATGTCTTTAGCTGCCTGCCTAAGGAGGTTTCCTCAGCATCCCAACCTATACTGCAGGGTCTTCTACCCAGAAAAAGCCAGAAGCACGAGGCTAAGGTGAGGTCTGTGTTCAAATCCTACCTACTACCTACTACCTGCGCCCCAATGTGACGTTGGACAAGTCCAAGTCAGAGAGCCTGTCCCAAAGCTCCAGCAGTTAAATAAAGGGATTGAAACAGGGGAATTGTTTCATCCTACTTAATTCCCAACTGGGTGGGGGAGGGAAATGGAGCAGAAGAGAGAGACTGCAGGAGAAATTCCTCTCCTGCAGTGGTACTTTCTCTTTAATGAGAAAGCCCATTAAGACACTTGATTTTCCATTTGCTTAAGTGAGATGGGTGCTTGCTATAGTGTGGAGGGAGCTGAGGACAAGCCACAACACCACGCAAGCCACACACACACACACACCCAATAACCCTATGCAGAAACACTGGGAAAACTCAGATTCTAATTGCACTTTAAAAAGAAGTATTATCCTGACACTTCAGCTCCCTCTCAACCATCTAGGCAAGCACTCATTAAAAGCTTCAGGAAGGGCTGGGGGGTACAGTGGGAGGAGACTCCTAGGGCCACCCAGGGCTTTTTTTTTTTTTGTGTGCCACTCCACCCCCTTTTTTTGGTGTTAGGTATTTACCGGAGCTGGCTTTGAACAGCGACCATCCTGATCTCTGCCTCCTGAGTAGCTAGGATTATAGATGTGAGCCACTGGTGCCCAGCTCACCCAGAGCTTGTGAAGTGGCCTCCTCTGGCTAGTCACTTGCAGAAATCTAAAGTTCTGGGGTCTTATGGTTCCGGTTTTGAGTTCTCCACCATCAAACTTTATGGCTTAAAAAAATTCTCAGTGCTGTAGAGGGAGCTCATTACCATATTCGCAGGAAGGGGTGCAGAGAAGAGGGAAGTGGTGCCTGCTACTTCTCAGGAGCTTGGACACCCCTGGAAAGAGCCCCCTCTGTAGAGATGGCCTCCCCTGTCTCAGCTCAACAGGAGACTCATGACAGCTGGCTGGATAGAGATGGTAGAGGGATCCAGTGTGACCACAAGTCTGTGGTCTGTGTCAAGCGAAGGCAAGACTTGGAGAAAGCCTACACTCTGGCCTTGTTTTCCCCCATCAGTGAAATGGGACTCATAAGGGATCCATTGGAAAAACCCAAAAAAGCATTGACAGGATGCTTGGCACTGGAGAAAAACAAATTGTGTGGGAGGAAGGGGGCATGCTCTCCCTTCCCAAAGGCAGGTTTTTAAGGACAGCACATTATGGGCAAAGGCAAGCTGCAAGCCCACCTCACCAGCTGGCCCCTCTCCAGACTGGTGGGCAGGCAGCCCCTGCCGTGCTAAGTAATGAGCGCAATTCCAATCCGGCTTCTGCTCAATACTGAGAAATCAAAGCCGGGTATTAGAGGCCATTTCTGCCTGGGCACCATTCGTGCCCAGATCCATCAGAGCTCAGGGCCTGGGGTTTCTTCTGGGGAAGGTGGAGGCTGGATGCTTTGTTAAGCAGAAAAGCAGGCCAACCCCCAGCCTTCCTGGCCCAGCCCACCCACCCAGAGAACTCCAGGCCCACCAGTCTTGTTTTTCTCCTAGTCAAGTCCCCACCCTCCTTAACCTTGGTATTTATTTCTGATCCCACTGCCCTGCTGGTAGTCAAAAGCTTCCCAAGAGGCAACCAACCATGTGCCCTTTACAGAGATTTCACTTACCTTTCAATCACCTTCTCAGACACCCTCAAACTAGAAACCAACACCCAATCCAGCACCTCCCACATCTAACTGCACCCTTTATACAAGACTGGTCATTCAGCAGCCTGCCTCCCCCCTTCCCCATCATTACCTTCCAACTTCAAAACACTTCTTTAAATACCAGAGTCTGCCCAAATCATAATTAACTTGGATCAAATGACTGAGTGTTGTAACTTTACAGCACAGGGCTTGGAAAGAAAGAAAGAAAAAAAAAAAAAGTGAGGGATGTGCTAAAACCAAGCTCTCACTCCAGGCCGTGGGAATCATTAATGCCAGAGTGAGGGATCCTTGGCTGGGGAGGTGGGGGAGGGGGGTTGGGAAAGAAGCGGATGTCAACATCGCAGCGGAAGGTGGGAGGGGAAGGCTGCGTCATCTCACCCACTTTCTGCTCCAGTTTCCCTGTCCCGTTCTCAACCTCAACTCAAGAGTACTGTGTGCAGGATGCCGCTCCTGTTCCCATCGCCCGCCCTGGGAGTCAAGATGCCCGGCTTGGCCTGTCTTCCTGTTTGGGTTCGGGTACCAGAGAGGCTGTCTCTAGTGCGTCCATCCCTACCCGCAAAGACGCAGCTCAGTTAACGCCAAGCCCAACTATTGGGTAAGCGAGACACATCCACAGCGCGAGAAGCGGATTAGGGTCTTTATAAAATTAGGAACCCACCAAACTTCTTAAGGCATCTTGCTGGGTCCAGAGCAGGTGCTGTACAGAGGCGAGCGCACCTGGTCTATTTTCCGGACAGCGAGAATGTCAGTGACCCATTTAAAATGAGGAAACCCAGCAGGAACACTATGTATCCCCACTCTCTCCCAAAACACACACCAGGTCTCAGGGGAAGAAAAAAAAGAAAAACCTTCCAAACCTGCAGCCCCGTGATCTCAGAAAACAGTGTGTTCAGGATTCAGCTCCTCCCCCTTCAATACCCAAAGCCCTTAACCAGGGTTCCTCGCTGGCAAAGCGCGACCCGCGCTTCCAGGGCTCGGCTGGTCTCTCCCTCCCTGTGGTCTACAGCTCCCGTGCAGCGCGTAGGAGCCTGGGCGAGCCGGGACCCAGTTTAGGAAGTTGCAGGAGAAAACCAGAGCACACACCTAGCCCATTTAGCGACAATTCTCTTTCGGCGCTGTCGCCAGGGGTCCCCTGGAGGTGGGTTCTCACGGATACTCAGACCCCAATTCAGACATCCGTACCAGGGAAAAGAAGCGATCTTTTCCAGACGGCAGCAGGAAGCTTTCGGCTTAGTCTTACCTCCTGGCCAGAACCCCCAGTGAGGTGGCTTCGCCATCGCCCACTTTGGTGGAGCAGAGAATCTGCCCTCTAACTTGGGCGCCCCTGCCGCTTTCCCTGCGCGCGCCGACTCCGCGAAGAACCGCCTCAACTTCGGTTTGAGCGCAGAGAGGCGCAAGGGTCCTCTCGTCCCCCGCCCTAAGCCCGATCGCTCCCTACCTGCTTGGCTCAGCGTCGGGTCCCAGCAGAGCAGCAGCACCAGCAGCAGAGCTCCCCGCGCTCCGCTCCGGGCCCACATGCTTCCGCGGCCCGGCTCGGGCGCCTCTCCCCCGGGGTTCTCTCCCTGGCCCCAGCCTCGCCGTCGCCGCCTCCGCCGCCGCCGCCTCCTCCTCGCCGTCCTCCCCAGCGCCCGGCCTCGCCAGCCCGTGCCCTCCGTGAGGGCAGCAGCGGCAGCCACGCTGCGCAGAGGGCCGCCGGGCGCTCGGAGCACGATGGTTGTCCGGCGCCCGCTCTGGAGCCAGGCTCCGACGCGCCCCTCTCTGCGCTCCTCCTGATCAGGGGCTCTGAGCGCTCTCTGGACTCCCTCGCCCTGGATCCGAAGTTGCACGACCAAAGGGGAGTGCGCTCAGTGGCGCTCGCAGCGGCAGGCGCCGCGCCGTCCGAGACCGGGTGCGCGCCTCTCCGCACCCAGCCGCTCCCCGCCGCTCCGGCGCCCTCACCGGCTCGCCGCCTGCTACAATGCCGAGCGCTACGGCGCGCTCGCCCTAGTGAATCCGCCAGCTGGGGCGGGGAACAGTGCGAGGACGGGGCGGGGCCCGGCGGCCGGGGGCGGGGCCACGGGGGGCCTTCGAGAGGGGACCCGACAGCCAACCTGGCGTGGCAGCAGCAGACCTGGGGCCTTTCAGCAGGGCTTCCTCGAGGGACGCTAGGCCCAGTGCATTAGAAAACGTGGTCACTGGAGGATGGCTGGAAGCGGGGTCCATCCAATTTTCTTTTTAAAAATGAAGAAAATGTACCTTTGTGCCCTCCTTGGTTTGGCTATGTCAGCTTTTGCCTCTTGGTTAAATGTAGGCCTCTCATTTCCAGCACATTCTTCTATGCCTTTCACCTCCGGGTGCTTTCCAAAAAAAGGGTCCCTAAATGAGAAAAATCTCAGGCCTCTAAGTCCTGGCTAAACAGGGCTTATAGCTGTGTGAATCGATTAGCATCATCCTGTAAGCTGTTTGTCTACATGTCCTATGGCAGAACTGTACCAGACCCCAGGGAACCCTTCCCCATGCAGATCCTAGTTTGTGGTGAACCAGCCCCTAGGTGACAGTGGGCAAAGAAGGGAGGGTTTTCTGTGTTTGGCTCAAAGTAAACTTGGGTTCTCCTGGGCATCAGTGGCTCACTCCTGTAAACCTAGCTACTCAGGAGGCAGAGATCAGGAGGATATCAGTCCTGGGCAAATAGTTCTTGAGGCCCTATCTCGAAAATACCCTACCCAAAAAAGGGCTGGTGGAGTGGTCAAGTGGTAGAGCACCTGCCTAGCAAGCATGAGGCCCTGAGTTCCAACCCCAGTACTACCAAAGGGGGGAAAAAACCCAAAAAACTTGGGCTCTGCTCCTTACCCATGTGTCCTTGAAGGATGTAACCATTCTGATGCTCCCTTCATTATCATCTGCGAAATGGGGAGTAACAATATTGAGGAAGTGTTGAATCAAATGGGAAAATATGTATATGGAAACTGTAGCATGAATGCCAGTAATCTCTAAGATTCTCTCTTCCCAGCCAATCTGATTCCTCAGGGAAAGTCCTGACCACTCAGAGTTGGCCAAGGCCTGTGGGACCAGGTGTGGGACCAGGTGAGGTTTAGAGGACAACCATAGTACTGAAACCCAGAGTTGATCAGCTAAGTTAACAGAGACCTTCAGTTTGGCAGTCACTGAAGGGTTGACACTGAAGGGTTAAGCACTTCGTATGCATCATCTCTGCTAATTTTCACAACCCACTGAAGTAACATTTATATACCTATTTTAAAGATGAGAGAACTGAGGCACACATTTGTCCAAGATCACACAGCTTTGAGTGAACGAGTGACTGAGTGAAGGGGACAGGGGAGATGGAATTAGAAACCTTTTAAGCTGGGGAGTGGCTTCCCTGGTACTGGATTGGCTGTGGAAGAGGCTGTCAGCCAGCGGGAATGTCTGGACACAGCCCCAATCTCTTGACTGAGGATTTCCTGTCTTTGCGGGGCTAGGATCTGGAATCACTCCTCAATACAGGAGCAGTGTCACTTCAGGAAGGTGGGAGGGAAGTTAGAGAGAGATCCAGCCAGGCCCAAGAGCTGGGGGGAAGGGGGGGCAGGGGGAGAGCTACAATAGGGCCAAATGTCCACAGAAGTGTTCCCTAGATTTGAGAAGAAAGGGCTTGGGGACCAACCTGATAGCTAGAAGGTTACCAGGTTGGTAGGGGGAGTGGAGAGAAGCAAGGAGGGCCTGTCCTAGCTGCGTCCTCAGAGGAACAATGAGGCAGAACTGCTGGAGACCCCTCACAGGCTGGGGTCAGGAGCATCTGAGGGAGGTAATAAGCATAGTCAGCTGACCCCTCCCTTCAGCCCTCTCTGGCAGGCCCCCAGAATCAGGAGGGTGGATATGGGTGGAGAGGGACTATGTGGAGAAGGACTTTGGCCAACTGAGAAAGGCTTCTGTAGGCAAAGGTAGCTGGGTTATTTTTAGCCTGTCCTGGAACAGCCCAGGGAAGGGCAGTGATGAGAGTCCATAGCTGATCACACCCAGCCAGCTCCACCCATCCACAGACGGCAAGCACCCAGCATACACACAGCCCTAGACAGTTACAGGCACCTCCCATACATACCTACATGGACACACATAGTAAACATACAACAGAGACACAGGTGCAAAACAATCCTACCTGAAACCTCACACATACAGACATCCAACTATAGAGACACCCACAGACCAAAGACTAAGGACTAAGAAAGCAAACACACACACACACACACAGGCACACATCTCTGAAAACACACGTAGGCAGATGACTCTAAAGACAAACAAGCATTTTGATACTTAAGTTCTACCCGGAAAACACATACATGCACACGTATCAAGAGTCACATCCAATGGTTATACCCTGGAAACAGGCACAAGGTCAAGGACGCTCTCCTCTCCTCTCCTTCTCCACCAGTAGAATATTGGAGACTTCTCTAAAAAGTTCCTGGACCCAGCAGGTAGAGCAAGCCTAAGTTTCAGGTTTCAGGCTTTGTTTGATTCCTGCTAAGGGAGAAGAGGATAGGAGAGGTAAGCAAAAGAAAGGTGGTCATATCCCCGTCTTGCCAGGCCCTCACCACTTCCCTCTTCTACATGAAGACTCTCCAGCTCTTGACATCTGCTCTTGGGAGATCCTGGGCCCTGCTGTTCCTCTGGGACTCCAGCATCAGAATAGGGACCTTAGCCCTTTGGGAATCTCCCATAATCGCCCCGGGTCCCCTCCTGTACTGACTCTCAGGGAGATGCCCTTCCCTGGCTGCCTGCAGCTGAACAACCCTCTGCAGACACAGCTGTAGCACCTCCAGACGCCTGAGAATTGGTACTAAGCTGGGACCAGGGAAAGGAGTCCACCCAAAGTCAGACTGCCTGGAGTCACAGCCAAAATGGGTGAAGGCTGGGCAAAACCCCACCTCTGGGGTGGACTTCTGGGGTAGCTGCATAGGATTTGCCAGACTATTCCCAAACCCAGTGCCATGGGACTCATGGCAAAGGAGTGATGCTGTGAGTTAAGTAAAAGGACAACACTGAGCTGCCTGAAGGCAGGGGCTCTGACCTTTCCTGTTCACCACGATATATTCAGCACTAAGCTTCCTGCACATAGTAGGGATGCAATTGATATTGGTGGAGTGGATGTATTAATGAGGCAGGGGGAAGAGGGGCTATTAGTCAAAAGCATACAACCTTGCCAAGCTAAGAAGCACTAGAACACATACCACCCCTCCATCCCACCCTCACCCCGTTTCTTGGGTCCCAGGGGCCTGAGGGTGGAAGCAAGCAGCCTTTGTGCATTATAGCTGTTTTGAAATCAGTCCTAGAAGGGTGTTGACCCTTAGTGGAGGCTGCAGATGCTTCTGGGCTCACCCTTGAGAGATCCCAAACTGGAGTCCCAACTGATGGATGTGGCCCCTAGGTCTGGGAGGCTCTGACTGCTGGGAGATCATAATTCCACTAATCTAGAGGAGCAAAAGCTACCTATTTTACACCAATTATGATTTAAAAGCAGCCTGCGGGGCTCCCTGCAGGAGCGGTTGGCGGCTTCCGCTTGGCTCTCGCAGGTGCCACTAGAGGGCGAGCTGTAGCATTCGCCACCCCATGGTCCGCCGGCTCCGTCCAGATCCTGTGGGTCTAGGAGAACTGACCGGTCCCCCCGGGGCCCCACTCCCACCCCTCTCCGCACCAACCCTCCGGGGACTGCTTGGGAGAGGATTTCTGCTCCGGGAGGTCAAGTTTTGCAAAACCCTGAGCTGGATTCATGAGTTCATGAACCCTCCCTTGATGACCCAGCCAGAACAGACCCCTGCAGAGGAGAGGCACCTAAGGTTGAACGAAGTCCTTAACGTTTTACTGGCTCTTTGTAGTAATATTAGCATAGTTAATGTTGAGCGTGCCCGCTGCCAGGTTCTGTCCCAAGAGGGGGAGGGAGAGGAGGGAATTCAGAACTAATTCTCTCTGGATTTTCACTTCTGTTAGGTTCTTTTGAAAACTGAGCCAGAGCTGAAGATGCTCGCTGTTATTTTCAGGATAAACATCAGAGAACTGTCCATTTAGGACGTATTCTTGAGGCGATCCTTCATGCTTTCCCAAGGGCAAGAGGAAAAAGATTCTCCTGTGTGAATTGACCTTTGCAATGTATTGGCTACAGAGACTTTTTTTTTTTTTTTTGCTAAAACGTACATTAAAAAAACTTAACTATTTTACAAGTACACTTCAGTGACAATAAGTACACTTTGGAGGAAGAGACAGGAAAGAGAGAGAATGTTTCTCATGTATGTATGTGTGCATATGTATATATGTTGTGTGTATATTTTGTGTGCGCATTTGTGTGAATGTGTATGTATAGAGGAGATAGTGAAAAGCTCCTTTTCTTTTTTGGTGGCACTTGGGTTTGAACTCAGGGTCTTATACTTGCTAGGCAGACCCTCTACCGCTTGAACCACTCCTCCAGCCCAACTTCCCTCTCTGTTGACCTCTGACCCCCTCAGTGAAGTGCCAAATTGGGAACAGTCCTAGGATACCCACTCATCTGGTTCTGAATATTTAGATTTCTCTTAGCTTTGCTCTTTTGCCATAAAATCTACTCCATCCAGGACTGTGAACTTGGGTGTCTCTTTATCTTTAAGCAGGGCTCTTTCTATCTTTATGTGCATCTATACAGAGACACGTGTTCTCTCTTAAAAGGGCTAGGCTTTCCAAATTTTACACTTTTTTCAATTAGCTTGGTAAGTTATATGATATGGTAGTTTTCAACAAGGAAAAACTTCTGTTCCAAATTAAGAGAGTTATAAAAAGTTCCAATGACCACTGCCCAGAGCATTATCGCCCAAGGGCATATGCAGGAATTAGGACCAAGACCGATGGGGCGTGGGGAGGTGATGCCTGCTGGAGTCAGGGACGCTCAATCAAAGGTCAAAGTTGAGGAAAGGAAAGTTAAAGAAGTTGCATCCATGTTTTTTCCCAGTGCTTCTGTTAACAGCACTGGTGCAGTGTGTGATCAGAAGACTT